CCTTTGATTATAAGCAGGTATTTATTTAGCAAGTATACCTTTGAATATAAGCAGGTATTTTATCGTGATATGATAGGCCTTTATATGATAGGCCTTTTTGAGAAAACAGAAATTTTCAGACATTTTTTCCACTTAAATTATGTGCCAGATTCCTGTTGTTGTTTTTTTAGACAAAACACATTTTATAATATTTCTGTTGCCTTTTATTCGTTGTAATAAAAGAAACTGTGTCCACCAGGAGAATCGAAACCTGGTTTTTAGGGTTACGAGCTCTGCCACCTAGGGCTCTCGTTTCCGAATAACATTGACCCGGCAATGTTAGGGCGCTCGACTCGCAATCTGCTGGTCGCGGGTTCGAATCCCCGACACACCAAACATGCTAGCCCTTTCAGCCGTGGGGGCGTTATAATGTTACGATCAATACCACTATTAGTTGGTAAAAGAGTAGCCCAAGAGTTGGCGATGAGTGGTGATGACTAGCTACCTTCCCTCTAGTCTTACACTGCTAAATTAGAGACGGCTAGCGCAGATAGCCCTCGTGTAGCTTTGCGCGAAATAAAAAACAACAACAACCAAACCTGAAAAATTCCTTCTTTAATAGAACATTTATTTAATTTATCAGGTGAAACATCATGAAAGGCTTGCGTAGATATTCGAAACAAACCGAAATTCTAAGAACTGATTCGCTAATATTTTATATTTTTCTGGTAACGTTTCGTAACGATGAATAAATTTGCTGTCTATCTTTAATTACTCGTTGTTTGCGCCCTCTATATTTGTATCGCCTGTGTGTTTCCGTAATCGTTTTGATTACTGTATATCAGGAATGATCCCAGTGGCCCGATAGTAAGTCTGAAAGCTTATAACGCTTAAATCCGAGTTTCGATGCCCACTGTGTAACTGTGTGCTTAACAACAAACAAACTGCAAACGACGTTTCGGTCCGATATTTATGACGCTAAAATCCGAGTTTCGATACCCACTGTGTAACTGTGTGCTTAACAACAAACAAACTGCAAACGACGTTTCGGTCCGATATTTATGACGCTAAAATC